AATTATTTATTAATTTATGGTCTTATCCATTTAAAAAGGAAAAAGCTTCACTAATTCAAACAAAGAAAAAAATGGCCTGTATCAGAACAATGCAGGTTATACTTTAATGATAAAAAAAGGAAATTTTATCCCTTTATACTCTGGAATAACTTATAACAGATTGCTGCTCATATAAATTTGATATTAACAAATTATCTCAAATTACACATTTCTTCCCATTTCTTCCCACCCAGGTTTTCTAATAAACTTACCTTCCAACATGGTCTTGATAGTCACAGACTGTTTGGCAATTTCCACATCAACTTCAAATATCTCTCCATCAGAACTCTGCAACTTAATTGAAGGCATCTAAAAAAGGTATATTAAATGCAAAATTTAGAGATATTAGTTCTATGTGACGTTTCATCAAATACAGTCTGTCAGAAGCCTCTAACTTATTAACCATAAAATCCCAAGGACCTATAGTAAATAACCCTACAAAACACTGTTGTAATTAGTTATCACATTGTGTATTTCTACACAATTTTTTTCAAAGTGTAACTACAAGGAATAGAAGCTTTTAAGGACTGCTCCACTGAACTCAATATTGGTATAAATTTAAGAGTTACAGTCTATACTTTTGATGCGAAATATGTCTAAAATCAAACTTATTTGCTTTTTGTCTGCCTTCTGCCTCCCAGTAAATACAGACTACTCCATTTGAATAGTTAATTGCCATAATTAACCACCTGCAAACCTGAGGCAAGTCAACCCAACATAAATAAAGCTACCAAACAAGATAGTAAATTCCCCACAGTGAGACCCTACCAGGCAAAAATTAGTTCAGATCCAAAGAGTAGATCCACGCACGATATGCTCATTTATGTCTGAACCAATGCAAGATCATATATCAAGAGAATAAGATGACTTAAGGATAAGCAATGTCAATAAAATTCCCTAAACCTACTAAGGAGCCTAAATCCCAAAGTCCTTTTTATCTTTCATAACTGTCCAAGTGTACAACTTGGAGATCTTCTGGCAAAATCTCCATAATAACCTATTATTTTCTCCAAAAATATATTAACTCAGATTAATTATGAGTCATTAGGAAAAAGACACCTTATGTAAAAGTTAATTAAGCAAAAATAACTTCAAAAGACTTGAGTTCTGGCAAGGAAAAATAAGTTTTAAAAGTTGTAAGCCAGCAGTCTCTTATTATCTTCAGATTCTTTAAGAAAGAAAACATACAAGAAAAAGACCATAAGGGGGGGGGCAATACCTATCAAGATTAATTCAAAACCTCATAAAGTTCATATATAGCTTTTAAATGGTCCATGCCTCTGAGGTATTCATAATCCTGTGATGTCACTACTTATTAACTTAAAGCATCTCTGAAGCTTTCTAGGTGTGTTGTATTAAAAAGTCTGTCAATTTCCACAAAAAAAGTGTAGAATTTGACATTTCAAACATACATTGCACCCATTTTAGGTTCAAAGAGGATCTTAAGATCCACTCCGTAAGTTAAAATGCCCATTTCAGCTTTTCTGAGACAACTGTCCCCATCCTCCTAAGCAGACAAGCTGATAGGAGAAAGGAGAAAAAAAGTAAAGCATGTTTTAAAACAAGCCACTGAAATATCCTGCTCTCACTCATCCATAGTTGGAGAGAATCAGATTTCACTTTTCAGTTCACAAACATGTCTGCTTCTCCATGTTGCTTAGTGCTTGCCAATGATGCAGTTGTCCTGTTCAGTGGAGAAAGGCCCAGAGGAGAGGACCCTCCCTGTGACCAGGCAACAACAAAGGGTATCCCCTAAAGAAAATATTTTAACAGTGAGCCCAACTTTTAATTATACAACATTTAGTGTTCTTTTTATATCACACAGTACTGGAATGAACAGGACAAAATCACAAGTCTAACAATGCAGTTGATAAAATTAAAGCAAGACGACATTTCCTATTTTTTTCAAATAACTCATGATAAACAGCAAGAGGTGCTTAGTCATACTCAAATTCGTTTATTAGGTTACCCTTATGGGAGCTGAGATCTCATTACGTAGCAGGAAGGCAATGGGTTAATCTGTAATTCGATGCACTTTGTAATTCTACACTTAAAAAGACCCTTAGTGACACTAGAATTAAGTGTAAAACGTTAAAGTAATAATAGATGAAGTTTCTTCTTCTATTCTTTAGGCTCCTGTACTTGTAAATTAAATAACTCCTCATGGCTGGCATGAAATGGGTTCCATCGCATTATAAGGGAATAAAAACCCTGCATTTTAAGTGACCCGAAATTCTTGACACCTCTTTTTAGGCTGCACAGTGGAGGAGACTGCCTTGTTCTATGACACAGATACATTCTATTGTGACGCTCTGATGAAATATTCATGCCCCCCCCAACCCAAACCTTAAGTTTCCACTAAAAAATGAACCAAAGTAGGTGAATGCCCCTGTCCCTTTAAAAGCCAGACACCTGAAGTTATACACACACAGACAGGGCTCCTAAAAGTCATGCCACGATGACGATAGTATCTGCTACCACAATAGTTATTCCAGTGACTCCAAGTCGGAGCAAAATAATACATATTTAGGAGGAGCAGGGGGACTATCTGCAGAGACTCGCACCAGCAAACTTGGCCTGGACAGGTAGCCAGCGACGCCAGACACAGGGCAGAGAAAAGATGGGAGCCAGGACTCCGGCGGTCACGGACCACCAAGGCCACCCTCCCTCCAGACGACAACAAACGCCGAAACGGACACAGGCCCAGGCTCACGACAGCCAAGGTACCCCCATACAAAGCTCCACCATCACGCCCGTCCTGGTCCCTGCGGCCGCAGGCTTAACGCCGACCGAGGCCCGGGCCGCGGCCTGGGCCTTGCGCCGAGCTCCGCGCCGGCTGACGCTCGCCCCGTGCAGGGAAGGCCCAGCCCGGGGTTCGTAAGGACGCGCGGCCGGAGGCCTCCCGGGCCGGGGGCGGAGCGGGCGACCGGGACGCTCCGGTGCCTCCCGGAGAAAGAACGAGGCCGGCAACGGGCTCCACCGCGCCTGAGGGACGACCAGGCCCAGCTGCCGCCCGCCTCCGCGGGCCCAAACCGCAGTGGCGCCGCCACCCAGCCCGCAGTCCGGGCGCCGCAGCCCCTTCCAGCCCGGTGGACGGCCACTCACGGTGTTCGGTCTCAAAGCACTGGCGGCCGGAGGCTGACGAGAGCCGGGCGGCGTCTGCACGAGAAGAAAAAGGCGGAGGACAAGGCCACTACGGCGGCGCGGCGCGGCGTCGGCCTTTATAGGGGCGGGCGCCGAGGACCCCGCGGCCCGCGGCGTCACACAGCTGGCCGGGCTGGCCGGCGAGATCGCCTGATGGGTGGCCGCGGACGGCGGGGCGGGCCCGGAGCGGACGGGGCGCGGCCGGCCAGGGGAGGGGCTCACGCCTCACAGCCACCCTTGAAAGCGCCGCTTTCTCCTCCGAGCGGGCGCCGGGCCCCGGCTGCGGCACCTCCGTGGCCTGGAAAGGCTTTTCAGGCAGGGGCTGTCCTAGGCTGAGCGAAAGACCCCAGCCCCGGGAGCCTGGAAACAACGGAACGTGGGCTGGGGGTGTGTTTTCCACAGAGCTGACGGCGCCGCCCTGCCCTCCGTCTCCACCGTGACCCCGTGAGGAGGAATCCTGTTAGGTTTTTAACCCCGTTTTACAGTGAAGGGGCGAGTTCAGAACGGTTGGGTGAAACAGGCTTTGAGCCGTACTCCACATTTGCGTGCGCTTAAACCTTATTTCCTCCCATCGGCTTCTGAAGCGGGGACCCCGCGGAGCACGGTTGCCGGGAAACCGAGTCCGGGGACGCGGCTCCCCCCTGGCAGGCATTCCCGTCCCTCCCGTGAACACGCCGAGCCCTTGCCCGGACAGGACCCGCAGCGCGGGCGCCCCCGGGGAGGCTGTGAGGGGGGCGGTGGGTGACGCTGACTCTGAGGGAAGGGGAAGTCTGGACGCCCCAGCCTTGCACTGCTGTGCCCAGGGGACGTCGCCATCCCCTCCCTGGAGACTCGGGCGCCAGGCTCAGCTAACCGGCGCGCACGTGATGGCACTCCTGACACCAGGAAGACAAAAGATGCTTCCACACGGGGCCCCCTGGAGAAACCCGAGCCCCGCAGCTCCTCCGGGCTGGGGCTGGGCAGGGAGGCCAGGGAGCTCCTTGGGTTACCAGGTCTTGGTCCACAAGCTGCGGTGTCCAGTGTCTGCCAGGTGCCACAGCTGATGACGGGAGATGAAAGGCCTGCAGCTCTCATGCTTTTCCTCCGCAGCACGGCCCTACCCTCCGCAGCCCCAGCTTCGGGCCTCCCAGGGCAGGCTCACGCGAGCCCCTTTGCTCCCCTGCCTGTGGCGCCCACGGTGGCACCTTGTAAACTCGCTGAGCATCCTAGGAGGGACCGTGCAGTACCAGGTCACACAGCTAGCGCCAGGGCCCAGCACAGGGCCTCCTGGCATAAAGTAGGGATGTGTTTTTCCACATAGGTATGAGAAGTCTCCAATATTAGACTCACCAGGAGATGCTTGCTTTAAAAATGAGAGATGTCATGTACTTGGGTATGCTATTATGTGTCGCATGGTTAGATTCTCTCAGGAAAGATACACACGAAATTGGTTGTCTCAGGGTAAGAGAATTAGGTGGCTTGGGGGACTTTTTCACTTGATTTTCACTTTATAAGTTTTTCTACCTTTTGGATATCAATCCACGTGAATGTGTTACATATTCGAAGTTGGTTTTTTTTGTTTTGTTTTTTATTGCAGTGGTGAGTGCTGGTTCACCCTGTAATCCTAGCACTCGGGGAGACCAAGGTGGGAGGATCGCTTGAGCTGGGAGTTCAAGACCAGCTTGAGCAAGAGTGAGACCCCCTCTCTACAAAAAATAGAAAAATTAACCAGGCATGGTGGCGCATGCCTGTAGTCCCAGCTACTCGGGAGGCTGAGGCAGGAGGATCGCTTGAGCCCAGGAGTTTGAGGTTGCAGTGAGCTATGATGATGCCACTGCACTCTACCCAGGGCAACAGAGCAAGATTCTGTCTCAAAAAAAAATTAGCTCAAGTCAAGAAAAATGCAGATTCTTAGGTCCACTTTCAATCTAATGACTCAAACTCCCTGGGGGCAGATTTTTCTGTCCTTTAAACAAGTTCTCTAGGTGATTCTTAAGCCCAAGCTAAGTTGAGAAACTCTGGAAGTAGGGTCTCAGTGACAAAGCACTGACAAGAAGGAGGCACCATGTTTGTCAGAAGTGACTGGCTTAGCTCCACACTTTCTGGATCAGCCCTGCCTCCCGAAAACCCTCCACTCAGGAGAGCCATGGTAGCTGCAGGACCGTAGGGCAGGCTGGGAATGACTCATCTGCACTTATTTATCCACAGTCACGGCCCGATGGGAAAGGGCTGGCCCCCACAGAGTCCCTTGGCATATGGATATGGGTGTGAGGAGAGGCTGGTGCCTCCAGAGCTGGCACTGAGGAGGCCGAGGCCTCACCCTTACTTCAGTCACTCCACACACCCCGTAGTCACAACCCCTTGTTCTACAGAGGAAGGGAAAAAAAACAAAAAAGGGATTTTTCCAGTGTCACATGGCCACTGAAGAGCAGGGCTGAAGCTCCAGCCCCAGCCATGCTTTTGCCATCACAGCCCAGCTAGTGAATCTTAGCCCCATCCCTCAAATGCCAGGGACGTTTTCTACTTTACAACTGTTCCCAGCATACTACATGCAGGGAAGAACTAAAGTCCTTGAATTCAAGTAGTCCAGATGGGAAAATCCAGTTTTTAGGGTGAAGTCTTTTCCAGGTGATCTCCCTTTCTAAGTCTTCATTGCCGTGAGCCACTCACAGGAGGATTCCTACGAGAAGCAGCCCTCTCAGTGCATCTAACACAGGACTTTGGAGCTCAGAATTCAGTTCACACTCCCTTTCTCGAGCAGCCACCCGTGGGACAGACTCTGGCCCCTGGACGTGTTCCATCCCACAAGACGGCACATAAGCTAGGAAGTAATTCAGTTCACAAGGTCAAAGATCTCCTGGCCGCATCCTGCTCCTGTGTCGACTCAGCCTTGTTCCCCTGATAGGGCCGTAAGCACAGCATCAGACCTCCGGCCTCTGCTGTGTGACCTTGGGTGAGTTACTTCACCTCTGTGAACCCCTTGAAAGAGTTGGAAAGAAGGTATGTTGATGCCAGAGCCGATTTTCCAAAAGGCTTGGGGTGGGAGAAGAACTGAGCCAGCACAGACAACGCTGCAGTCAGCTACCGGTGTGAGTCTCTGGAAAGGGGCTCTCTCCCATTCCTCCATCCCCCCAACCTACGGCTAGGGAGAGATTGGGAGCCCCATATGGGTTTGGGAACTCTGAGAGGGGGGAGAATCTCTGCCTTGGTCTCTTAGTAGGGTCCAAATAATCTCCCAAGGTGAGAACGTATGGCAGCGGTCAGATAGAAATGGCGCTGTGTGTGCCCAGCCCGTGCCTAATGTGTTGGGATCCACAGGAGTATCAGAGTATGTCCTGAGGCCCTAGCACAGCATGGAAGCTGCTAAAAGAAGTGGGGCAGGTGACCAGGCAGGGGCTTCTGGGATGTAATAATGGCAGCGCTGAAGCAGATGAACCTAGACAGTCCAGGCCAGAAATGCTGGCATAAATGCAGGCACCTGTGGGTACAGAAGAAACCAATGATGGCAACGCACAGCCGGCAGGGGGTGAGGTCTGTCTGCCTCCCTGAGCAGTAGAGGAAGATGTTGATGACCAAGGACCAGACAGGCTTCAGCCCCCTCACCTCCCACTCGGCGCCATGACCACTTACATGCAGAACGGAACTGTGACGCTGGATAGGACTGGAGGGGCAGAACCCTCCACTTGACTGAATGTTCCCCTGGAATGGCTGAGTGATCACCTACTTGACTGGATTCACCAGGACGTGACCAGATTATTTTGCCTTCAGATGGACATAAGTGCTGTAAAGAGTAATTAGGAAAATAAGAGAGCTATTGTTTTTGGCACACCCAAGTGTTCTGACTTTAGAATTTCACGCAGCCACAGGTGCACAGGAATCACGCAGGCCTGTTGTTGCCCGCTTGCTGCTAGCATCCTATGTGGTCTGGGATGAGTGGCTTCCCCTCGCTCAGCCTCAGGCTCCTTGTCTGTAAAGTGCAACTTATAACAATACTGAAACATTGCAGGATTTTTGTGAAAATTAATTTGAGTCACCAGAATGGCCAAACTTAAAGGAATGATAGGCCAGGTCTGGTGGCTCACAACTATAATCCTAACATTCTGAGAGGCCAAGGCAGTAGGATTGCTTGAGGTCAGCAGTTCAAAACCAGCCTGGGCAAGAGCAAGACCCCTTCTCTACAAAAAGAAAAAAGAAAAAAAAGAAAAATTAGCTGGGTGGTGGTGCACACCTGTAGTCCCAGCTGACACAGGAGGATCACTTGAGCCCAGGAGTTTGAGGTTGCTGTGAGCTAGGTTGATGCCATGACATTCTAGCCCAGGCAACACAGTGAGACTCTGTCTTAAAAAAAAAAAAAAAAAAAAAAAAAAAGAATGACAATACCAAGTGTTAGTAAGGATGTGGAACAATGGGAACTATCATACATTGCTGGTGGGAGTACAAACTTATACTTCAGAAAACTGGCAATATCTACTGTCTACAAAAGCTGAACACACACATACCCAGTGGCCCAGCAATTCTAATTCTGGATCAGCAGAAATAAGTGTTTATGTCCACTAAAAATATGTTTAAGAATATTCATAGAAGGCCGGGCGTGGTGGCTCACACCTGTAATCCTAGCACTCTGGGAGGCCGAGGTGGGCGGATTACTTGAGCTCAGGAGTTCAAAACCAGCCTGAGCATGAGTGAGACCCCGTCTCTACTATAAATAGAAAGAAATTAATTGGCCAACTAATATATATAGAAAAAAATGGGCCAGGCATGGTGGCACATGCCTGTAGTCCCAGCTACTCGGGAGGCTGAGGCAGGAGGATCGCTTGAGCCCAGGAATTTGAGGTTGCTGTGAGCTAGGCTGACGCCACGGCACTCACTCTAGCCTGGACAACAAAGTGAGACTCTGTCTCGAAAAAAAAAAAAAAAAAGAATATTCATAGGAGCTTTATTCGCAAGAGTCAAAAACTAGAAAGAATAAATCCATCCACTATAGAGTGAAATAAACTGTAGTAAATTCATATAATACTAAGCAGCAATGAAAAAGAAACTACTGATATAACAACAACATGGATGAATCTCACAACGTTGAATAAAGAAGCTAAGCACAAGAATACATACTACATGAGTCCATTTAAACAAAGTCCAAAAAGAAAAGAAAAACAGGCAACAACTAATCTAAGGTGAGAGCAGAAAGAACACAGTTTACTTTTGGCAGGTGGCAGGTATAGACGAGGGAAGTTTCTGGGATTCTAGACATTTCCTATCTTGATCCAGGTAGTGGCTTCCCAGGTGTATGCATATATGAAAATTCACTGAGCTACAATTTTATCTGTATACTTTACTGCATGTAAATCATAACTCAATAGAAAAGGGGGGAAAGTGACAAAGTGATAATGCATGTTAACATGCTCAGCATGGTGCTCGTGTCAATTCCTGAAGGAACTTTAAGCCCCTGTAGCCTCCTGCCCACGGCTGCCCAGTCACTCACAGCCAAGGCTGGGTGAGTAACGGGAGAAGCTGGAAGGGGAGGTCGGGAGTTTCTGCCAGGCCCCTGTACCCAGAGAGGACTTACCTGCACATGGCCCGAGAGTTCAACTGAGACCTTGGACAAAGCTACAGAAAGGGCCATTTGTCAGCCTCCGTGTCTCTCCCTGAGACAGCCAGTACAGCGCCTCCCCTGGGGGCTACGGACCCGCCCTTGGGAAGCCAGGACGGAAGCTCCAGGCAGAAGTGCCATCTGCACCCAAGCAGTGGAGGAGACTTCTTGAGCCACATCTGCACCCTCAGAGGTGAGGAACCCCAGGCTCCCCTTGGGCCCAGGCTGGATTGGAGGGGCTTGTTACGCCAAAGTGGGCCTACCCACAAGGCTGGGACTAAGTGGTGACACTGCCCTAATCCGCACGACGGAAAGCATAGCAACTAACGTTCCTGGAGCATGGCCCCGCCAGGGCACGGAGTTAAGCTCTTCCTATATATTCTTCTCCTTTCACAGAAGACGTTGCAAGGCTGAGATGGGTTAAATAATCGGTCCCAGGCCAGGTGTGGTGGCTCACGCCTGTAATCCTAGCACTCCGGGAGGCCGAGGCAGGAGGATTACTTGAGCTCAGGGGTTCGAGATCAGCCTGAGGAAGAGCGAGACCCCCACCTCTACTATAAACAGAAAGAAACAACAATTAGCCAAACAACTAAAAATAGAAAAAATTAGTCAGGCATGGTGGCACGTGCCTGTAGTCCCAGCTACTCAGGAGGCTGAGCCAGGAGGATTGCTTGAGCCCAGGAATTTGAGGTTGCTGTGAGCTAGGCTGATGCCACGGCACTCTAGCCTGGGCAACAGGGTGAGACTCTGTCTCAAAAATAAATAAATAAATAAATAAATAAATAAATAAATAAATAAATAAATAATCTGTCCCAAACCACACAGCAGGAAAGTGGGGAGATGGGCTCTGAACCTAGGTCTGGCTAACTCACTAGATAAGTCAGAGCTTCACAGAATAGCAGAACACTTCATTCTACCCCTCCCAAGGGGGAAAGACTATAGGGATACATGAGTGTCACTTGTGTGCTCAAAGTGGCCACACTGGGCAGGGACAAGGATGGGACTGCTCCACAGTCTGGTCCTATTCAACCCCCAAGACTACTGCACTGATGGGCTCTGGCCAGCAGATGGGGCCCGAGGGACAGATGGCTGTCCCAAGGGTGCATCTTCACTAAGCCTGCCCTTTTCCAGGCCTGCCCTGCTGGCAGGGGCCCTTGGCTGAGCTGCTTCCAAAGGTCGCCCCCTCTCCTCTCCAGGACCGAGTCCTGTCCAGAACCCTGGTTTAACCATCGGAGGCTGAATGCCAGGGCAACTTGATCCCATGTGCACGGTGTGACCCTGGAAGTAGCCTCCAGCCCTCTGGGCCAGTGTCCTCCTGTGAAATGGAGAGTTCACAGCAGGCCTGGCAGCAGGGGCAGGTGGATGCAGTCAGCGGCAGGGCAGTGCTGCGCGGTGCATCGGGGACTCCTTCACAGATCAGAAAACAATGACAGGCATGACCTGTCATCACCAGCTATATCCCCCTACCCTCTCTGGGGGCCCAGAGGACCCCGGCGCCAACATGGCACCTGGAGCCAGTGCACCAGGGCAAAGACCACCAGCGAGAGAGAGGGCGACCTGTCTGAAAGTCTGCGGCCCAGCCAGCCGCGTGGCGCATCCCGGAAGCCAGACTGGGGCGATGTCAGTGACATAAAGTCAAGCGTGACCTGAGTGTGTCCTACAAGGCAAGCGCCAGCTTGCGACTGCTGAGTGCCCGTCAGGAAGGCCCGTCTGCCAAGGGACTAGAGTGACAGGGGCTTCTCAGGAGCATTTCCGAGTCTCCGCCCAGCAGCACACACTATGCCAGAGCTCGGTGAACATTCCCCTAGCACTGTCTTCCCTCACGCTGGGAATAGTTATCGATGGCAAACGAGAGAGAAAAGGACTTTTGCCTTCAGGAAGCTCACCTTCTAGTGGGTTAGATGTGGTATAAATAGGAGAATGTTAGGTAGATAAATACTGTGAATCAAAAGGGGTTAGACAGTGAGAGGAGTGCAATACATTTAAGCAGAAACCTGCACAAAAAGGCCCCAGCCACCGAGAGAGCTGCGCGAGGTGTCCAGGCAGTGTGTGTGCAAGGGCTCTACGAGTGAGCTTCGTAGGCTCCAGGAGCAGCGTCCCAGCCTCGCTAGAGCTGAACGGGGAGAGAGTGAAAACAGATCAAGGCAGAGAAGCAGGTAAGGACCGAATCGCGAAGAGCTCTGTGGGATGTCACAAGCGAGCTGGATTTCATTCCATTTGCATTAAGCAGCCGCATCTGATGGAAGGTAAGTCGCTTGTGGCATGATCTTATCTACAGTACAGAAAGGCCCCTCTGGCGACTGTGTGGAGTGTGGATGGCAGTGGGGGGAGGGAAGGAAGTAACAAGACCTTTTAGGAGGCTGGGGCTACAGCAGGGCCAGTGGAGATAAAAGAGAAAGATGTATTTGGAGGTGCAGGTAATGGACTGCTTGTGGAGGACGGGAGAAACAGGCATCAAGGATAACTGCATGAAAGCTGGCATTGTTTACTGACAGGAAACACCAAGAGTTTAGGTGGAAGATCAAAAATTCAGTTTGAGATGCACGTTAGACGTTTGAGTCATGTCAAGTAGGCTGTTGAATATGTAACTGGAGCTCAGGGGAGATGTTGGGCTAAGGATATAAATTGGGACTCTTCAGTAAGTAGATGGAACTAGATAAGATCACTTAGGAGAGAGAGAGAGACACGCAGGGGGTGGTGGCTCGCACCTGTAAGCCTAGCACTTTCAGAGGCTGAGGCGGGACTGCTTGAGGCCAGGAGTTCGAGACTAGCCTGAGCAAGAGCAAGACCCTGTCTCTACAAAAAATAGAAAAACTAGCTGGGTGTGGTGGTACACACCTGTAAAAAAAAAAAGGAGAGAGAGGGAAGAGACAGAGAACTCTTGGGTCACTTTAATATATAAATATGAAGCATTAGCAAAGGAGTCTGGAAAGCAGTCAAAATGGTAAGAAGAAAACAAGTAAATGTAGTGTAAAGGTAGACAAGCAATTATTTCCAGGAAATTGTTTTGGTTAATCATTTCAAACACTAAAAACAAATTTAAACTCAGAAAAATATCTACCATACTTGGCAATGTGAAAATCACCTTGATAAAGCCATTTCAGTGGGGTGGTGTGTTGAGAAAACAAACGTGTTATGTGAAGACTGAGAGAGAACAGGTAACAGTTCTTTCTAGGAGTTTTGCTAAGAAGAGCAGTATAGAAAAGCGGCAGGCACTTACAGGGACTGTCAATTCAAAGGAGTTTGCTTCTAGGATTGAAGACACAGAGCCCGTGTCTGTATGCCGATAGGAATAATCCAACCGAGGAAGGAGGCCACGGTCAGAGGTATAGCTACAGAAAGGCTGCTGATGTGACGACAGGCAGAGACGCTGTCGGATTGCACTTTGAAGTATTAATATAGGCGAGGTCGTCTGTGTTCTAGAGTATGAAGGAGAGGGGTTGGCAATTTGGATCAGTCCTGAGAAAGAACCTAAGGCAGTGTAGAGGACTGTCTGACATCTGTACGAATCCCTGCCACTCCAGTTGTGTCGGTTTTCCTGGCCGTGTCGGCCACTCGGCTGCAGGCACCAGGCTCTGGTCAGAGCAGCTCAGCCTGGACGCCGGCGGGCTCCCAGCCGGCGGGCTCCCAGCCAGCGGGCTCCTCGCCGCCGCCCCCACCTCCCACCCCGGCAGGCAGGCATCTCTAGGGATGCTATCAGCTCACAGTGCCGTTCTAGAAACCACACTTCAGTTCTCCCTTTAAAACAAGTCATCGTCGTCTTGTGATAAGTAGCATCTAATGCAGACAGGTGAGGACAGCTCCTTCTCCCCTTCAGATCTCAGCTCAGTGGTGACTCCTCAGAGAGCACCAGCCCAGGGAAGTAGACTGTTCAATGTATTTGAATTGAAATTCAAATTAAAAGGCCAGTGAGGTGGTTCACGCCTGTAATCCTAGCACTCTGAGAGGCTAAGGTGGGAGGATTGCATGACCTCAGGAGTTCGAGACCAGCCTTACTAAAAAAAAGAAAAATTAGGCAGCGTCATGGCACATGCCTCTAGTCCCAGCTACTCGGGAGGCTGAGGCAGGAGGATCACTTGAGCCCAGCAGTCTGAGGCTGCAGTGAGCTCTGATAATGGCACTGCACTCTAGCCCGGGCAACAGAGCGTGACTATGTCTCAAAAAAAATAAATTTAAAAGCTACATCAAGACATATTGCTGCCACCAGCCAGAAAAACTGTCGCAATCCACAAACTTACTGAGCAGTGCGCACACACACTACGTGCATGCTTTGGCTAACAGGGCACCTCTTTCCACCCTTTTGTCTCCTGCCCTGATTTTTCTTCATGGCACACGATTCCTATCTGACTTTTTCTCTCATGAGTGTCAGCTTCACAAGGGCACTTTGTCTTGTTTACCACTGTATTTATTCTGTGTCTGACACGCGGCATGTAACAGATGAATGCCACTGAATTCAGCCGGTGCCTGGTGGAGGCTTGCTTTCTCGTGGAGTACTCGAACACCATGGCAACGTCTCTTCCTGCCCAGCTCACTTGCCGTGCTCCCCCAGACGGCAGCAGCCCCTACTATGCCCTGGCTACTGAGACCTAAATCCTCTTGCTAGAGTCCCGTACCCCTCAACACACACCTAAGTTGCGTTTTCCCCTTCTTGCTAATTTTTTCTCACCTCTGTTCTCCTCCTCAGATTTCTGCATCTCTGTCCTTTGCCTTAAGTCTTAAAAAGCCTTGAAAGGCTCACAGATCAACAGGAGCATGCAGTACCATGCTGGAATGCTGGGAGTTAGGAGGTCCCTGCCTGTTAATGCAAAGACTGGTTCCTGCTGACGCAGCACTCCAGGCCAAGCAACAGATGGTCTTCTAGGCACAAGTCTGAGTAAACTCAGGTACCACAATCCCCTGCCAGGATCCCAGCGGAGAGGCAGGGCAGAGCCTGGATTCTGTCAAGTTGTTGAGGGTGCTAACGGCTCTTTCTGTGCTATTAGATGTAGGCACAGAATCCCATCGTTGAGGTAACCAACTGCCCGCCCTGGTCTAATTGAAAGCTCTGCTTCCTGGAAAACCCCAAAACTTGAGGCAAACTGGGTCAAAGGGTCACCTTATATCGAGCTGTGTCCAACCATGGCCATACATAAACAAAATGGTGAGTTCACTTAGTTTTGCCTCCTTGTTTAACTACGTCAGGGACCCAGCACACGCCCATCAACTCGCTACTGTTACTTGTGAAGTAATTAAAAGCTCATACTGGTTGACAAAATAGCCAAGATGTTAAACTAAAAAATGCAAGGTGCAGAATAGGGTCTGTTTCCATTTGTGTTTTAAAAGGGCGAGGAGAAGTACAATACACAGTACCTATGTGCTGATCCTTGCAAAACTTAAGCTGCTCCCAGAGAGCAATTTAATTTACACGATGATCATGAAGGAAGAACAATAAAGCTCAGCCACCCCCACAAACAGGCACACTTGTAGGTACTGGTGTGACTGTGAAGGTATCCACGACCATTAACAGCAATTACCTCACAGGAGACAGGCTGGGAGGCAGACAGCTTTTTTGGTACACATTTCTACTGCTTTACTACAAGTATATATAATCAAAGCAGAAAAGATCAATTTTCTAAGACTGAGCACCCATACAGATTAGAGATGGGCAGTGTTTGTAGGGTCAAGTCCCCCATATCATCACTTGTGGGTGGCTAACTGGGCACTAAGACACCAGACAAGAGCAAGTGAAGTTGGTCTTGGCTTCTGGCTCCTCTCAATGATCACAAGATAAGGTAAAGGTCTCCAGAAGGGTGGGAAGACGGTCAGGGGATGACAGGCTAGCGTCAGATTTCGTTATTATCCTTGTCAGCCTGAAGTGCTGACTAGTTTCCACCAGTCTTGCACAGAATCCCAGGAGTTTATTAGAGTCTAAAAACTTAGGTCATTTCTCAGCTACAAGAATACCCTCCAGCCAATTGGGAATTCAGAGGGAAAATGCAGGAATTACTTCACTTAGATGAATTTTTAAAAGTTGGGGATGGGGTGCCCTACTCCACATAAACCTTAAAGAAACCAAGGGTTTTCCTTCAGTATATTAGGTTATTAAGTATGAAATGTCTACTTTCCGTAAGTACAAAGTTTGACAGTTGATATCTCTGGACATTTCACTTTGACACTGTTTTGTTTATCGTGAAGGTACATCCTCAATGTTTCAAATGGTTTGGCTTGTAACTATCTTTCAAAAAAAAGTTTAGAGCAATTTTTTTAAACTATGGGTAAGTAAAAAAAATCATGTTATTTTCAAATATGAGTTCCATCGTGGAACCAATGCAGCACAGATAGCTCGAAATATCAACGAAGTGTTTGGGAAGGATGTGGCTAATGATTGCACAGTATGTACATGGTTTGAGAAGTTCTGGTGATTTTAATCTTGAAAATGAGCCACATGGGCAACATGAGACTAAGGTGGATGTTAAGCTGAAAGCCGTAGTGGAAGCGAATCCATCTCAACCTACGTGTGAATTAGCAGCAAGGTTTGATATTACTATTCCAATTACTATGGACCACTTGAAACAAATCAGCAAGGCAAAGAAGCTGGATAGAGGGGTCCTGCACGAATTAAACAAGCTTCAGAAGAGAAATAATCTCAAAGCTTGCCTTTCTTTACTGTCACGACATAAAGGTGAACCATTTCTACACCATATTATGTGTGATGAAAAACGGGTTCTTTTTGACAACTGCAAGCATTTGGTACAATGGCTGGATAAAGATGAAGGGCCAAAACACAGACCAAAACCAAATATTCATTACAAAAAGCTAATGGTGCCTGTTTGATGGTCCAGTGCTGGTATTATCCACTCCAGCTTCATGAAGCCTGGTCAACCGATTACAGTGGATGTCTACTGCAGCCAATTGGACGAAATGATGAGGATGCTTGCGATTAAGCAGCCCAGATTGGTCAGTAGAGACAGGCCAATCCTCCTGCAAGACAACAGTCGACTGCATGTCACACAACGCTGCTCAAACTACAGAAGCTGGACTTGGAAATTGTCATCCACTACATTCACCAGACCTTGCACCAACTGACAACCACTTCTTCCAGGCTTCGGACCAGTTCTTACAAGGAAAAATATTCGATTCTCAGCAAGCTGTGGAAAATGCCTTTCTCAATTTCATCACCAGTTGCTCCCAGGCTTCTTCTCTGCTGCATAAACAAGCTACTGTTAAGATGGCAAAACTGTGTCCACAGTTTCAGTGCATACTTTGATTAATTTTACTATTTGTTTGAAATGTAAATTACACTTCTGATTCGAAATTGGACATTTCATATTTAATGACCTAATATTTGCTAATCCAAGTCCACTGTGAAAGTTCTTTTATCTTTAGGAGCAATGGATAGGCTGTGGCGGTTAAGCTGAACCTTGGCAAACTCTTTTAAAATGTGGTTCAATTAAATCCCCTTGAGTCATAGGTCATTCCACAAACTCTGATGCAGTATCCAGCCTACCTGACTTGGGCCAACACTCAGAAGGCCCAGTGTGCAAGCCTCCCTTCACCACACATCCCAAAGGCCTTGGTTTCCTGAATAGGAGTCAGCCACAAACACCACTTTCTCTAAACCCAAAAGCTGTGTAGGATCATCCTCACCCTTTAAATGCCATTAAATACAAAATAATCCATGTAAAAGGCCTGGCACATGGGAATTCTCAGTGCTAGACATTATTCACTATTAGCTATTTCTGCTATGTCAAGGGTTGAGTGTCCGGTATCTACTGCTCTCCTAATCACTCTGAATCCAACTCAACTCTTCACAGTAATCATTGTTTTACCACTCAGTGCACTAGAAACTTAAGCTGGTTCAGGATGTCAGCTGCCTTTTGAGGATTGCAACATCAAATTCACATATTCCAGAAGCCACAAATCACTTACTCTGTACCGTTTTAACCTACCAAATGCTGTAGGCCATCTGCCACTCAAGCTCATGGCAGAAATGTTTCAGTCCTTCCAAGAGGTGGCTTAAGCAAATACTTACATTTTGAAAATCCAAAAGTTGTCTATTCATATTTCTAGGACTACTTTTAATATCTTGGTCTGATCATTATTTTTCACAGGATCTGAGATGAAGCTGGAAAAAACCAAAAACCTACAAAGCAATCACTAATATGCTACTTTAAAGAAACCCAGAACCAAGGGGAAAATAACGGGAAAAAAGATGCAGTGGCAGCAAGCAGAGGGCTCATATCACCTTGACCTTTCCAGAGGTCATTAGAGCCATCACACTGCCATCCCAATATCTCGACTCATATTTGAATTGCCTGTCTCCCTAACCCTTTACCATCCAAGTTCCAGTGTAGGAGGAAGCAGTGGGCTGGGCCTTGGGTTTGTCTTGGTGTTCTAATTTTAGTCACAGATCACTGATGGGATTAAAACGAAAACAGTAGTTTTATGTATTTTGACCAAGGTAAGGATCAAAGTGGTTCTGGGAAAGAATACTAAAGACCAAATACATTATACAGCTTCTACTTCTCCTCTGCCTGCTGAATTCGATTCATACCCCAGACCTTCACTGCAAAGAGACTTACCTCAAAAAGAAAAGCTGGATTGAATAGCAAGAGCATATTCTACAGCTTCTACATCTGTTATATTTCACCATACCTTATAGCCTGACTTTTTCCCTAAGACATATTTGGATATATTTGACCTTAAGGCCCATCCTTGACCAGACCTACACAACTAAATAGCCTTTACCCCTGCGCTCCTCAAGTTCTACTACCTCACTTGGAACAGTTCTGGAACTACTACTGCAAAAGCCTGAACCAAGTAAGACCACCAAGTCTCCTTGCAGATCACAAGGTATGCTAAGCCTTGATACACAGCGACTGCACAGCCTTGGGCATTCCCAATACCTTTAATCAGACCTTTCACTTTGGTCTTCCTAGTATTCCAGAGCAGGAGCATTCTTCACTCCCTTGGTCATCAACAAGACTCTGGTCTTTGGCTTCCACTCGTGAAAACTGCACTTGCTTATGACTATAGCCTACCACTGCACTATAAGAACTGCTAAATCATCTCGTGGAAGAACACATTCATTCGTTGTTCCCTCTGACCCCACCATGGCTGAGGCTATCTCAAGAGACATTTCCCTTTTTTAGGCCACAGCACAAGACTTGGTTCAGTGGAGTTCAGATGCTGATGAACTTCACGTCTGGTGCTTTAAAGAATCTGTGAAGTTTTTCAAGTGGATAAGGAGTACTTGAATATGTGAACATTGATAATATACAGAATAGAGGTTTTTGGCCTCACACCTATAATCCCAGCACTCTGGGAGGCCGAGGCGGGCGGATTGCTCAAGGTCAGGAGTTTGCTCAAGGTCAGGAGTTCAAAACCACCCTGAGCAAGAGCGAGACCCCGTCTCTACTATAAATAGAAACAAATTAATTGGCCAACTAATATATATAGAAAAAATTAGCCGGGCAAGGTGGCGCATGCCTGTAGTCCCAGCTACTCGGGAGGCTGAGGCAGGAGGATTGCTTGAGCCCAGGAGTTTGAGGTTTCTGTGAGCTAGGCTGACGCCACGGCACTCACTCTAGCCTGGGCAACAAAGTGAGACTCTGTCTCAAAAAAAAAAAAAAAAAAAAAAAAGAATAGAGGTTTTTGCTTTTTTGATCTTTTTCAGGGTGGTAGCAAGGGTGAGTTTTGAGGTGGTCTCAATTATCTATAAGGAACAGTTATCTGAGAATTCTGTGCCTCTGCCCTGTAGCTGAGTTAGCGCTATAGAGAATTTCTATAGAATTCAATGGAATTGAATTCTATAGAATTAAAATAGTTTTTATTAAAATAGTTTTTTTCTCTACTAGCCCTGGTCTGAAATGTGATAGAGGTGGTAACAGCAAAGAACAAGTCCTTAATCCTGGTTCACATACTCTACAAGGATATGACTAAGTCTAGTTCTGCAAGCAGGTCAGTCTTATAACACATTAATTCTAACTGGACGATCTATTTCACAACTAAGACAACTTTATAAACTGTGCTATAATTTACAAAGGTCATTTTTTAATCCCATTCTTTTGACTATCCTGAAGATGTTTTATGAGATACTCATAAATATTACCATTGAGGCATATATATGGCAATGGTGGACTTAATTCTGCATAAGACTTAAAGTACTTCACTTTTAAAACCTTACAAAAAGATTCCCAAGAGTCTAAGTAGTAAAATAAGCCACAAGTGCATTAGCAGCATTGTAGACATAAAAAACTTTAATATCCCACTCACAAGCCTGCTGAGGATACAAACTAGTCACCCCTCGGTGACCATGGGGCATTGGTTCCAGGACACCTCCCTCCTCAATGCTCAAGTCTTGAAGTCAGCCCTCCACATCCATGGGTTCTGCATCCCAAGAATACTGTATTTTCAATCCGAGGATGGCTGAATCCGTTGAATACTAGTATGAAAAACTGGACGATGCTGAGCTGACTGTATTTTAATGCACCTCTAAGTTACTTACAATACCCAATACAGTGTAAATGTTATGTAAATAGTTGTTATACTGTATTATTTTTCAATTTCAATTATTTTTTACTTTTGTGTTGTTTTTTTTTATCCCTTCTCCCCAGTAGTCTGTGGTTGGTTGAACCCCTGGGTACAGAGATGACTATACTTACAATCCAACTTCAACCATGAGGGTGTTTTCTCTTAAAAAATGTATTATCTTTTCCCACCATTCAATCATTAGTTATAATTTTTTCCTCTTTCACCATTTAGAAAGAGGAATTCTGGTCCGGGCATGACAGGGAACCCCATCAAACTGGGCTCTATTGCCTCCTCCACTTAGATATCATTTATCTTTGTATGCTCAATTTTTAAACTATAACATAATCCACATTTTCCTTCTATCAAATTTACAGAGCAGCTGAAAAAAATATATTTCAACCTATTTACAGGACAGCACTAGCTGTAAGCCAACAATCCTGTTTTAGAAACATTTTTTTCGTTTAGACAGCAATAACTGTCCTATTAAATAGGTATATCATAAAAGGAAATAAAATGTACTTATAGTCCTAAAACATAAAGTTTATACTATAAATGAAATATGGAGATCGCCAGGCCTCCCAAAATAATATAATTACAATTGTCTCAAGATTATTCAGTAAACTAGAATTATAATTGTGAAGGGAAAAAAAACTAAAATTAACCAAAAATATTTATACAGAATCTCTGTAGGCATCAAAGTTGAGAACCATAGGAATAACGATCCTTTTCCTACTAAATCTTTCTGGAAAATACTGACATGTTATACTTCCACTTAAATAACACCTGCTACCACCAACGTTTAATATGCAGCAAAGAAATGTTTGCTTAGTATATTCAACCTAAGAAATGAGCACATCATTTTACCCATAAAAAGTTCCAAAGCAAACTTCTGCAAGCCTTCATTCAGTACAGAGACTCAGAGCCCTGTCCTTAGAATAAGCTTTTTAAAAATTTGAAAATTCTGTTACTGAGAAATCAACACCACCCAACTTAGTGATTCCCATCCAACCACAATTATATATTTTTAAAGAAAATTACTATACTTACCAACACATTTTCCTCACTCATGTCATAAGAACGTAGAGTACTAACAGTTTCTAGTTTTGATGGCCAAACCCCAGTAATTCTCTACATTTAGACAACTATTTAAAGCCCTAGTAATCACTCTAAAACCAAGCCATTCCTGCCAGAAGTCCCGTTCTGCTGACCATGAGATGTAGAGAATCTGTACCGGGATGACAGCTCCACATGCCAGTTATAAGATATGCGTTTCTTAGAGTCAATTCTGATATCACAGGATCTGAAAAACTGCTGCTTGGTGTCTAAATTACTTGGGCATTGGATTAAAACTACCGCACATAGATAAACTATTTGTTTAGTCAGACAGAAAGGACATAAAGTGACAAAGCAAAAAAAAAAAAAAAAAAAAAAAGAAGAGAGAGTGAGAATGTATTTTTTGTAAAAGCAAAAAAGAATGAAATGAAATGTAGAAACATTAAGAACATTTTGGTTTGGACAGTCAACTCCACAAGCCACCAAAAAACTATCAAGTAGATCAGATAAGAGGTATCTGTATGTGCGTATCTCAAGCATCTTAAAAGAGAAATCCATTAACTTCCTTGTAGGTACCAAATTCAACACAGTACAAAGCAAGGAAATGTTTATTTACTATACAAGTATGATTAAGTCTTCTGAAGTTTACCCTTATAGCTTAAGATATCAAATTATTTGTTCCCAAAGAACTTTTGAAACTTCTAATCTTATTAAAAGAATTAAAGGAGGGAAAACTAAAAAACCTCATTAAATGTTGAACACTGCCACTTCAAGTGCCACTTGTGTCTCTGGGTGAATGTACATAACACTAAATGACCCAATGATAGTATCATTTAAAAAACTTAGTATCATTAAAAAAACTTAACACAGGCTAATGCTTTCACAGCTTTCTTATCCAAGACAAATTTAACTCTGAGACCACATGACAAGTAATATACAAATGTTAGTTAAAAATTTGCCAATCTGTCAATTATTTTCAGGAGTCCATGTAATATACATAACAATATAACCAGAAACTACACTGAGTGGTATAAGTAGACACATCATTTAGTTTGTTAAGCTCTACCCGAAAACATGCTGTTTTATTAAAACAAAACCCCAAACACTTAAATCTCAAGTTATAGATAAGGTTTCAAAATTAAATCTTATTAAACCAGCACAGATTTTCTTTCTTACAAACAAGTTAATGAGCAGGAAGAACCCACAAAGAGCACACCAGCAATCTGACAAACTGTACTGTATGGAATACAAATAAATCTTGAAGTTCATCCGAAGAATGTCAAAGGGTTACAAGAGATTATGTGGTGGCCTTGATTTTTTATTTTTCTTTACCTAAGAGTCTACAAATTCTAAAATTTCATCAATTGATTTAAACAGCACCAGTCTTACCCATTGATACAATTAAAATTTGATTTTCTCAGTTCTTAGTTCACAAGTTTATTATGAAAAACACTGCAGTGCTCTTGTGCAGTAGCATCATCTTACAGGAGGGGGAAAAACAGTTCTGTTCAAAACAACTCACCAGGTTCTGACAATAACAAAGAACAACATGGGGCTGAGAGTTGAGAAGGGAATAAACTGAGTGCAGACAAATCATATAATTAAATTAAACGGTATCCCTGAAAATAAACAAAACAATTTCAAAACTCACAAGTAGAGGGGAGGCCTTGGTACTTACTTTAAAAATGTTCATTAAGCTCCAATGATTGTTTGCTGCTATCCTTATCTACAGTCATGCTGAATAAAGCTATAGCTAAATGGAAGTTAAACTGTATTCACGAGGTGTTAATGTTTACATCTTATTATCTGCAGTCTCTCAGAGAAAGCAAAAGTAACTACAAATAGCGCTATGCCAGAAACTGGTTTCTTGACCAACAATGTCGCTTCAGCATGCAATGAACTGGTTCATTCTAAAGTGGTCACGGCTGTTGATGACAAGAGGCTTTGTATTTTTATATGGCACATCTTTTGGTCCGTGTGAAAACAAGTTTTTTGAATGTTTACTATTTTCTGACACTTTGGAGTTACTGCTGCTCTTCCCATTTCCATTAGGTCAATATATGGTTCATGGCAATACTGTACAAGTTAAATTTTCATTACAGGAAGTAGTCTGGAGTACGACGAGTGACATGTGGCTCGCCTCTACGGGGTGCTGGGTCAAACTGCAAGCTGAAAAACAAGACAGATACATGTTTTATGTTCCAGGACATAGATGTATTGACAATGAAAATAACGAGCAGTATTCTTACAAAGTTTACATTGTTTTCCTATCCAATTTCAGCTTGCTTGAATGTAACAAACTCTAATGACGAGGGTCTTTTATCTGCACTCCCCTTGAAAGAGCCATGGCAACTTCAGCCAGAGAGGCTAGGCCTCTCTTTTTCTCTACTGGTGTTCCTTCATTCTAAAATGGTTCGAAAGAAGGGTTCTACTAAGTAATTTTTTCAAGAGCCTAATGTATGGTATCTGTAATCTCACACACAGGATATACTTTATTAACTTTGTTAACTTTATTAACTCCATAATAAAAACATGGGTTTAAAAGTTAAAAACCTAATAATTCATATTAGGGTCTATATATGTTAGCTTTCGTTGGTATGTTTCAACATATCACAGGTCCATTTCAAAGAAAACTTAAAAATCAAGTTGGAATCTGATTTAGTGTTGAGTCCTTAAACCTCTCTTTGAAACTATTTTGGTTCAATGTTACCAAAAGAAAAAAAACTATTCAGTAATAGCAACCAAATGCTCAGGTGTAAATACTTACAAAGAGTATTTTAGAGTATCATCGAGTTCCATGATTGCAGCTTGGTTACCACAACGGTAACAATAGTTTGGAGCACTGAAAATCGTTACTACATTCCGGTCATGGCACCAGTTATATCCCTACAAGGAGAAGAAAGGATATGAGAATCTACTCCATTTACTCTGTATTTATAAAACAAAATGTGACTCCACTTGAGAGAGAAAACAAGGTCTCTACTGCCGCCCTCAAGAGGCTTAAAAAATGTTAATGCTTTGTTTCTGCATGATTTTAATAATTTTCTGTACTTCTGTACAACCCACAAAATACAAGTTTTTTTCACCCAAATTTCAAAACTAGTTTGTTAAATTGTATATATATAAAAACCTTAAAAAACAGCACCAATAACCAAAAAATAAGCTGATTCTTATATGCCTGGCCTTCTGTAAATGGCAGTGTCTCATCAGCCTCTCTTACTGCAGTGGCCTTAAAAGTGACTTAAGAGTGAATATTAAGCCAAGCACAGTGGTTCACAGCTGTAAACCCAGCACTTTGGAAGGCTGAGGAGGGAGGATCACTTGAGCCCAAGTATTTAAAACTGCAGTGAGCAATGACCACACCACTGCACTCTAGCCCAGGCAACAGAGCTAGACCCTGCCTCTCCCTCTCCCTCAACCCACCCAAGAATGAGTATTTATATAGCCATTCCCCATTCCCTAAAGAGGCAGATACATATTCCTGGAGACCAGAACTTTTTAACTTTTCTCCTCAGTCACAGGTGAAGGCCCCTAACTTGCTGACCACCAAGGTACAAATGAGATATGCTTTTAGCATCTCTGGCCTTGCTCCCTCAAAGTCCACTTCCATGCAGAAGCTACTTTACTTTTTGTTGTTTAGTATTGTTCACAAATGTCTTTTTCTCTACCTTTAGCAAAGTCAGATCTTATTGATATCACAGTTGTATTAGTATTAATCTAAATAGACCCTTAATTTTAAATGTATGCTA